ATGAAAAACAGAGCTGACCTCTGTTGTCTATCTTCATGCCTGTTTGATAATAATTCTTACTTCCAGAAAGTATCTGGGGAGTGGACCCTGATGTTGTTAATTGTATTTTCCAGCTCATTTAGATTTCCTGAGAATCTCAGTTCTGATTTCCTGTTGTTGAATCTTTGGTTGTCTGGAGGGGAATTCAGAGTTCATAAATTACTTTTAGCAAAATAAAAACAGGATTTGGGAGAAAACAGTCTTGATGGCCTCTGTTTCACAGAGTGCAATCTTTATAGCACAGTGATGTTCTGTACAATATGCCACCTTTCCCATATAACTTTTCAAGTCAGTTTTCTAAGAGTGTTTTTTTTTTTATTTCAACTTAATATGAGATTACACATTTTTAGGTTATATTGTTCTCACTTCCAAGGTAAAGTTCAAGTTGTAGTTGAGCCTTCACCCAGGGGTCATGCAAACACCCTCTCATTGTGCACATTGGATGAGATCCTACCAATTGCCTTCCTTCCTCCACCATCCCCTCTATCTTTTCTTTCCTCCTCTTTGCTAAACTGTATTTGTGTCTTCTCTTTCTTGTGGGCATGTAATTGTTTATATATTGGTTTCATATTAGTATTGAGTACATTGGATACTTTTTTTCCATTCTTGAGATACTTTACTAAGAAGAATGTGTTTCAACTCCCTCCAGGTAAACACAAAAGATGTAATGTCTCCATATTTTCTTGTGGCTAAATAGTACTTCATGTTATACATATACCACAGTTTGTTAATCCATTCATAGGTTGATGGGCATTTAGGTTGCTTCTAAGACTTGGAAATTATGAATTGAGTTACAATAAACATTCTGGTGTAAATAAATGTCTTTGTGGTAAAATGCTTTTTGTTTATCTGGGTAGATACCTAGTAATGGGTCTGTGGGATCAAATGGAAGATTGACTTTTAGTTCTTTGAGAATTCTTTACTTCTTTCCATGAAGGTTGTGTTGGTTTGCAATCCCACCAGCAGTGTAAGTGTTCCTTTCTCTCCACATCCAGGTGATCATCTGCAGATTTGGGACTTTGTGATGTGGGCTAATCTCACTAGAGTTAGGTGATATCTCAGGGTGGTTTTAATTTGCATTTCTCTGATGATTAGAGGCAATGAGCATTTTTTTTCATGTGTTTGTTGTGTGTTTCTGTGTGATGCACCCACCATTGTCTGTCATTTTCAGAGATATTTCTGTTCAAGTCTTTTGCCCACTTATAAATGGGGTTCTTGTTGATTAATCTGAGTTCTCTGTAGATTTTAGTTATTAGGCCTTTCTCAGATTTTTAATATGCAAAAATCTCCCATTCTGAAGGCTGTTTGCTTTGGTTATGGTACCCTTTAAGGGTGTTTTGATTTTTAAAAATGCCCTTAGAAAATTTGATGTTTGTATAAGTGTTTAAAAACTTGTCAAATTTCATAGAATTGTGTTCAAAACCATGTGAATACACACATATATATACATATACACCTAATAGTCAATAGTTGCTTTTTTTTTGTTTTTGCCTATTTAATGCCCTGTAACCTTACCAAGGACATTAACTACTGTGAAACATTAAATACTGACTTTGCTGGTATGTCATTTGAATAGCAATTCAGGAACACTTGTTTCCTGTTTTGATGGTCAACAGAATACTTGGGAGTTATGAAGCTTTACAAAATGAATATGATATCACAATCCCTGCCAGCCAGTCACTTTAGCTACTAAGGTGTCAGAAAAAAAAAATCCTAACAGTGGAGCTACTCTGCAAGAAATCAGTTCATAAGAGCAGGTCTCAAATCTAGGTGGCCTAGATTTTATTTCTCCAGAATGTTTGCCTTCTGGAAAGTAACTTATCCTATTCATTTTTGACTCATAGTCATTTGTATGTAAAAGTAGCATAGTACCCTCCTGGCTATCTGACAGGGGTAATGGAGAAAATAAAGTAGCATACATGTTCCTGTACAGAGGCTATAGAAAGTCCTTATCTACCTCTCTCAATTTTGGTGTAGATCAGCTTTCAGCTAGGGAGGGCCTGCCCGAATTTGTGTTAGTGTTACTCAGCCTCCTTTCTCAGCCCTGTCTTAGCTGCACTTACTGGTGTCAGCCTAGAAAGTCTCAGCTCTGACACGGCCCTGGCCCAGTGAGAACCATTTTCTGTTAGTGAGTAAGAGTCTGGAAATTGCTATACTTTTAGAATTGATTTGGGCTCCTGGGAGCCTTTGTAAGCTTCGGGCTTTATCTCTCACCTCTTTCCCCACCATCTGATGTTGGCTGTTTAATTGACTCCAATTTAGAAGTTCTATTCTTCCTCTGTCTCTGTTGAAAATGGGGCCCAGGCCTATATCTTTTGCTTAGTTCTGCTGGCCTCTTTCCAGGGACTGATGACTGCTTGCTGAATCATCTCTATCATCTTGCCCAGTTCTTTGAAAATAATGACTTGATCTCAACTATCCTGAAAATTTCCCTACTCTCAGGCCTTGATTTCCCTCCTCATTCCACACCCTTTGGATAACATTGACCCTAATTTGCCTCAAATTTGGGTTTTTGCCTCCCTCCCATTTTGCTGCAGACAGCTTCCAGCTAAGGGAGGGCCTGCCCCAATTAGTGTTAGTGTTGTTACTCAGCCTCCTTTCTCTGCACCGTCCAGGCTTACTCCCAAATCTTTTCTTAGGAGTTACAACATGCCTTGTATTTAGAGCACAGGTTAATGATTGCTAAGATGCAAGGATACAAGTATCATTGGCAACTTCCAAAGCTAAGATTACATTTATTTTTAATGATGCCACTAGAAAGTATTCAAATAAGATTTTTAATAGATATAAATAAGTTGTCTTTTTATTATATTTCTCTTCACACCAAGAAGCAAAGTGTATGTTTTCTCTGATTAAGCTATCAAATCAAGGAAGAAAGGATATCCAGTGACCTTCAACAACTGAGGAGTGAGGCATTAGTGTTTCTACCTGTATTTTATTAACTAAATTTAACTTATGGTTTGCATATTTATAAATATATGCACTGTATTCTTCCATGATATTATAAGGCTTCTGTTTTTTTGACTGTGCCTCTCTAATATTATGGTATATAACATCAGAAAGCTAGATAATGGAAGAAAAAGTATCCAATGTACTCAGCCCTACTATGAAACTAATTTATAGCTTCCATAGGAAAGCTATAACCCAATTCTAGCCCAGGAATATGGGGAGAGGGGAGAGAGAGAGGAGGAGAGGGGGGAGAGTGGGTGGAGGGAGGGTGATTGGTGGGATCACACCTATGGTTCATCCTATAAGAGTACGTGTGAATCTCTCTAAATGTAGAATATAAATGTCTTAACACAATAACTAAGAAAAAGACATGAAGGCTATGTTAACCAAATTCAAATTGTATATAGAAACAGTACACTGTACCCCATGATAGTATTAATGTACACTGCTATGTTTTAATTAAAAAAAATTTAAAAAAAAAGAAAAGTGATAGTGGAATATTTGCAAGTGCTAATTTGGCAGAAACAGGAAGCTTGAAGAAAACTTCCTGGAGATTAAAAAAAAAAAAAGAAAATGACAAATGAGTTAATTGAGACTGCAGTCTCAGGAAAAGGAAAGGAAATTTGGAATTTAACTCTTTTTCTTATCATCATGTCAGCATATTCTGATTATAAAACTCCTCCTGTAACCCTGATAACTAATTTCTGACAAAAATGATTATGAGAGAGCCAAATCAGCTGACACAAGAAAAGCAAATGTCAAATTCCCTAACAATTCTGTTTCTTCCCACCTTTCTAACTTCAATTTAGAGGGAAACATTAAGTATGGAAATGAATAAAGATGAAAAGACATCTTGGTGTAAAAAGCATCTTGGGATAAAATATAAAGTTAGTAATAGAAAGATGATTGTATGTATCTTTTCTTCATTTAAACTCCTTGCCTTTTATTTGTTTATTCACATATTTAATGTAAAATATATCTTTAGAATCAAAGGAAAATTACCAAGTCTGAACCAGTGTTCCAAAGCAAGGAAGGTAATTTTTATCCATTGGAATATTACTAGGTGGTGTTGGGAGTCTGGATCTAGCCTCAATCCATTTGTATCTAGGAATAAATCACTCACAATGTCTCATCTACTCTAGAAAAGCATCAAAAGTATGCTGGCTGCTTATGGTTCCTGGACATGGAAATTAAATCAGGAGTAGACAAAAACTCTTTGGAGACTTGAAGAATGAGGAGAAATGTAGTGGTGGCCTTAGTTTCTTTCTTTAATTTTATCTGGGCCAAAATAAGAATCGTTCTTGGTTGTAAAGAATGATTAGGTAAATGTTCAATCGGAAAACAAATTGTATATGCAGCACTTACTGAATTTAAATGATAACACCAAGGATTGTAGAAATCAGAGGAAATTTATATATCATCTAGTTCTGAGAAACTGACAGTTTCTTAGGGCACCTGCAGAGGCAATGTTTGTTTGGGAATAGAAGATCACACAAGATGACTTCTGACAGCTCATTCAATAGATTTTTTGAAACTGAGGACCAAAGAGGTTAAGGAAATAGCCCAAGGTCATAGAGCTGACTGTGGGAAGGAAAGCCTAGAATAAAATCCAGGTTTCCAGATTCCTCATCTAGCTATGACTCTTTTACTACTTAAAGGCATTTCAAACTCAAAACAATGATGCCTTGGGGTAGTATGCTCTGAGGAAACAACATAAACCTGGCAATCACATATTTACCTTTTCTCAATGTGATGAGTCACACAATAAAATAACTTTGGAACACTAAGATGCCATATGAGGAAATAATTAAAAGGGAAAGAAAATTACTCAGATGAACTTCTTCATTTCCTCTGAATCTTTTGACAAATGTAACCTTGAATGCTGACCTGCTTTGAATACACATTTTTCTCATGACAGTACTTTTCCTGGATAAAGCAGAGCTCCTCCTCCACAAAAGAAAGGCTTGAGTTTTAAGGTCATTTAAAATCCCTTCTGCTGAGAAGCTGTTCATTGAGGCAGACATCAGTGGTACTGCAGAAGAATTTTATTCCAACTGGATACACTATTCACAGAGTAAGTTTGGAATTTAATTTAGGGAGGAAGTTTGAGAACGAGAGGTAACTTGTTTTGAATAATTGTTTCACTTTATCCACCTTTTCTTAATGGGCTCATGAATATTTCTGTGGAAAATAGTTTGGGGAAACACTGCATTTTTTTCTCATAAAGCTAATAAGTGTTGGAGCATCAGCATGGATAGCATTATTGTTTTGGTCTTCATTGTTTTCTTATTAACCTTTATTTTCTGTACAAATTATACCTCTCTTAAGTAAACCTGGTCCTTTGGAGATGGTAAGGGGAGTTGTTTTTTAGAGTGAAGATGTTTCCTACATGATTTTTTTCTGTAAATGAGAATCCTCCACTTTGCAGGAACTTTTCTCTCTTAAGTTCAAAGAAAATAGCAGTGTGCCTCTAAAATGAATGATTTCACTTATCTTTATATGATATTTTGATTTAATTTAGAGTATATGCATTTCCTTTCTATGTGTGACTTCATCTATTCATATATTATGTCTACATATATGGTTGGAGTATTCAAATTGAAATGTAATCTTCACTGCTTTTCCTCTGAAATACACTAGCATCTTATATCTTTAATGCTTATTTTTCTCTGAAAGAATCCACAGTTAAGTGTTAATTGTGTTAACACTTAAATATGACCATCACTTTCATAAACTGTACTTATTTTCAATGCTTCCAAATTTTCTTCTTTTAGTATATAAGAAGGTGCATAAAACCAGGACCTGAGTACCAAGGACTTAGCAGCTATTTATTATTATATTTTTAGAGATGGGGTCTTGCTATATTGCCCAGGCTGGGCTCCAACTCTGGGGCTCAAGTGATACTCCTGCCTCAGCATCCTGAGTACATGGGACTACAGGCCTACCTACTGGGCCTGGCTTTATCAGCTATTTTTGATTAAAATTTTATTAAACTATAGAATGTTTTAGAGAATTCAAGGCTCAAGTAAATTGCATAGATTTGTTATTATAACTATTATTATTGCTTTAAGTGAGGCGAGTATTAAACTAAGGAACAAGCCTTCTGGTTTCCAGTTCTAAATCACTTCTGTATCACTGTGTGATCTTGGGATGGACATCCTGTTCCTATCTTAGTTCTTTCACCTGTGAAATCACCAGATGTCCTGACTGGGTAATAATACAAAAGGCAATAAAACTGTTAGAAATAATTATTTAAACGGTAGAATAAAACAAAGGGAGTGGCAGATTATTTGTTAGATTGTGTTTTATTTTTTCAATGCTAAAATTCTATCTGTAAATTAAAAGCTCCTTTCAGGGCTTTTTTTTTTTTTAATCAGAGAAATTGATCGCCTGCATTTTGCTACAACTTGGAGAAGTGAGGGTGGGAGGGGTTGCATTTTCCTTTTGATGTATTTTTCAATATCATCGAGGAATTGATGGGAGGTGGCTCCTAGATATCAGAGAAGCTGAAGGCAGCTAACATTGAGTTACTATGTTCACTGTGTCACAGATGTTTTATATGCACTGTCCCACTTAATCATTTTCTAAGCATTATGGAGGCAAGTAATATTGCCTTCATTTTATAGACAAGAAAATTGAAATACAGAGCACTGAATTATCTTGCCCAGATCTATATGGCTCTTTTCATTATTTCATGCTGCTTTTGTGTTCACTCTGAGATAAAACTGAGAAGATAAGGTCTTTGGAATCATGTCTTCCAATCTGTCCATGGGATCAAGACATATGCTGACAAGCTGGATAATGTACAGGGCCACATAGAATAGGTTGGTACAGGGTGTGATGTGGGAGGCAGTTGACAGGTGCCTGCCTAAAAATGCTATCTTCCCTAGACTATCATAGTCACTTTACCTGAGATTTTACCACTAAAATCATTACTTGGGATGTTGACTCATTTTTTTGTTTGTTTATTGGTTCATTTTGTTTTTCTTTGCCAGTGGGGAGGGTGATGGGGGACTTTCAAATGCACACAACCTTAGGAGGATTCATGTATGAAATCTTTTATTACCTGATACCTTAGCAGGCAATGTAGAATAGGAGAAAGAGCTTACTTAGATTTTAGGGAAAGGCAGATCTGGGATTGATTTCTCATTCTACCACTTATTAGCTATTTTTATTTGCATGTGATACTTAATCTCCCAGAGCTTCTCTTTCCTCTTGAATAAAACAGATAATAAAGTATATATGTAGGCCCTTAGTATAATAATCATAATGTATTGAACATATACTATGGGTAGTTATGGTACAATGGCAAGAGCACTGGAATGGAAGATGTGGTGTTCTGTCATATTTGTTTCATTCATTCAGGCAAAAATTTATTGAGCTTCTGCTATGTATCATGGACTGTGCTAGGCACTGGGGATACAGCAATAAACAAAGTTCAAGCTTTCTTCTAGCTTTAATTCTAGTTTGGTATTAACATAACTACATCTGTGTCTTCATCATATAAAGAGGGACTAATGTTCTTCACATTTTAGAAATGGAAAACTAAGGGTTAAATAATATAATAGTGGGCTAGGTATAGTGGTTCATGCCTGTAACACTAGCACTCTGGGAGGCTAGGAGTTAGAGACCAGTCTGAGCAAGAAGGAGACTCTCATCTCTAAAAGTAGTCAGGCATGTGGTGGGGGCTGGTAGTCCAAACTACTCAGGAGGTTGAGGCAAGAAGATTTGCTTGAGCCTAAGAGTGTGAGGTTGCTGTGAGCTATGACAGAACAGCACTCTACCAAGGGCAACAAAGTAAAACTCTGTCTCAAAAAAAATATATAATAGTAGGCAAAATAAATATGATCCCTGAGCTCATCTACTTGATTATAAGTCTGTACTGAAGCAGAAAATAATCAGATAATCTCACAAAGTCATAGAAGATTAAACTTTGATAAGTCTAGAGGAAAGGTAGTCAGTGCCTTGAAAGCGTGTAATGGGGCCTCACCTCACTTTCTTTGAGCTGGGATCTGAAGAATGAGCAGTGCTAACCAGGTAATCCTTGAACGAGTCCTTACTCAGATTCTTCTGGATTTCCCTTAGCTCTTTTATAAGTCTCTTTGGTGGTTATTACAAACTTTCTCCTCTCTTTCTAAGCATCCTCCTCAGCTACTATGCATTTATTCTCAGGAGGTGGGCTTGCCTCCTTTTTCACATAGAAAATAAGAACTATCACTTCTTCCTGAACCTCATCCACCCACCTTCCTTTATTTTGCACACACATTGATTTGCATTTTCACCCGTACTTTTGTCCTCAGAGGAAAAAGGAGCCATCCGTCAGTGCAAGTTTAATCTCTCCATCCATGATTTCGAGCTCATGCTGTCCTCTTGATTTCTCAGGGATCCCTTTTTGTAATTACCTCTTTCTCCTCTGTATTGTTATCCTCCTCTCTTTGAGTTCTTTTCTCAGCAAAAGTGCATTAAAAAAAGAGCGATGGTGTTTTTACCTTTCCCTGTACAACCAAGCCCTGTATGACTTATACAATCTTCAATAAAAGGTGCTCCACACAACTGCCCTTACCAAGGTTACCAATTATTAATACTTCTTATTCCCAAATGCAATGGACACATCTCAATTCTTGTTCTACTATCTCCCTTGCCCCCCACACCAGGTTTTTACAGCGTGTGACACACTTTGTCTTTGAATGTGTTCACTTTGAAATCTGCTTCATTACTTTCCCTGATACCATTGTTTCCTGGCCTTCCTTCTACTTTTCTTGTCACTGTTTAACCTCATTTGTGAGCTATTCAATTGCAAATGCTACCTGTGAATTCAACTACCCAAATGTTTCTATAATCTCTCCAGTTTTCAACTGGTCATCAAGGCATGTCTATTTTACCTTCTTACTTATGCTATGTATTTGATCTTTTTTTAGCACATCATTATTATCACAGTATGGGTTGTCATCATCTTTATCCTTAACTATTGTAAAAGTCTCCTAATTTTTTGCTATTGTCTCTTTTCTTGTCCAACCCCCTGATCTGTTTTCCTAAGGGTGGCCAAAACCACATTCCTAAAGTTTATATGTGTTAAACTGAACTGTTTGACACAAACCTCGGGTTGAAAAATCCTTCAGTACCAGCTTATACCTCTCAGGATTAAGCCCAAAGTCTTTTAACATAGATGAGAAAGTATTTCTATGTACATCTAGCTAGAACAAACCACTTGTTTATTCTTCTTATCTATAAGAAAGCTCAGGTACTACTTCCTTTGAGGAATCTTACTTGACCACTGCTCCCTAGACCAGCTTGAGTACCTTGCTTTGTCCTTCTAAGTGTGCTTGCCTCTTTCCTGGAATCTACCATGTTTTATTATAACTGATGTTAGTATAAATCTAATCTAAAGATTGGTTTGTGAGAAATTTCCCATTTAAAAATGTCTTTAAGCTATGCCATATTCAATATTCTGCCAGGAAAATAAGATATGCAGTTTTAGTCAATACTTGAGTTTCCTGATGGGTTATACAAATATTTTGAGGCCTTAGGCAACACCAAAATGCAAATGCTTCCCAATTTATGATGGAGTTACATCCAAAAAACCCATTGTAAGTTGAAAATATTATAAGTCGAAAATGCATTTAATACACCTAACCTACTGACCATCACAGCGTAGCATCACCTGCTTTAAATGTGCTAAGTAATCTTACATTAGTCTCTAGTTGAGCAAAATCATCTAACACAAAACTTATTTTATAATAGAGTGTTGAATATCTCATGTACTGCATATTTGCTAGCCCAGGAAGAGATCAAAATTCAATGCACTTCAGAATTGTGATGGTTTTGCACCATCTTAAAGTTCAAAAATTAGTAAGTTGAATTACTATAAGTCAGGGACCCCCTGTACTGAGGAGGTCTTTGTGGTCATTGATAATTACTTCTGTTAACTCTCCAATACACTCTCTGATATACCATTCTGCCTCAAACTGGAATAGTTCTTTCATGTTTGTTGCTGCCGCCCCGATACTGTGCTTGAGGGACTGGATCATTGCTAAGATTGAGTCCCTGTGTTTCAGGCCCAGCACACTCACTGAA